GCCGGTACCCATCAGCTGCTTCTGGAGTCCCGTAGGCCAGAAAGGCCTGATAGGACTCCTTCGTCAGCTTGACAGCATCCCTCCTTTCAAACTTTAGATGAATAAATAAGATTAAATCTCGTTTAGGTGGATATAGATGCATTACATCATTAAGCCCCGCCCCCTGTGGAGCTGTCCCCTATTCTGCAGGTGGCAACTCTATTTATGCACCAACATTAGATAAATGGAAAAAGTGTCTCATTTCACATGTAAGCAGATTTTATCTWATTTACTTCAGTGTGATGTGATCTGAAGTTAATACTGTATCAGTTTAAAGTTAAAATAAATGTTTAAAGCTGATGTAAATCATTAATTAATGAACTGATTACATAAAATGTGCTACTTTTCTGCTTAAATTATTTGGTTTTATAGAAGAAACTTGAAGAGACTTTCTTGAGTTGTTCTTGGTGTTCAAAATGACACGTTTAAGGTCCAAAATAAGCAAGAGGTGGTGGTAAAGTTGGAATTTACGAGCAGCACGTGAAGGCATCATTCCAACAGTAGCAGTTTATCTAATCTACAGGTGAGACAGGTTTTACTGCCTCTAATCAACTCTTTAACACAACTCACTGCTTCATTCACTGACTCTTGTGTTTGTAATCTGTTAACAGYTCCAGTATATGAAATAAACAGTTTGTATGAAGTCAGTGTCCACCTGGAGGGTTGTTGTTATTAATAATGCAACGTGTCACTGAAGTGTCAGGTATGAGGAAACCCGCTGACAGAAACAACTTCTGAATTTGGTAAAAACATTTAAATCTATCTTCTTCCATCCCGCAGAGGTTCAGATAGATTTCCAGGCWCCAGCAGTGAACTTCAGGCGGAACTCACCTCCTTTGACACCGACGCCGGGCTGTAGTTTGGCGGACAGGATGACCAGAACTATCCCGATGATGAACCACTCCTTCCGGAGCCTCGCTAGGAGGCCCATGATTCCGCTCCGGAGGCTCCGCCGCCGGCCTCCTCTCCCCGCCCTGCCCTGCCGGCCGTCCTGTCGCCGAAGCCGGGCTGAAAAGTTTCCTCAACTCCACCGCTTCGTCTTACTTCAGAGGAGTTCAGAGAGAAAACACAAGGAGCGAGAAGAGCGACTTYCGTACACGTCATCAGCAGCGCGACCGTAATGACCGGAAGAGAGGTGCAGGACGGATTTTTTGATTACCGTAATGCAACTAAAACAAGTTTTTATTATGTTTCTCAAATACTCCACACAGTACAAGGAATTTATCATTTTGTGCGCAGCTGCTACCACAATAAAAGACGAAAAACAACAGTTAAAAAAATGAACAGTTTGACCAAAGCTGCTGGATTTTAATCTGCAGGCTCTGAACAGGAGTCCTGGTGTCCTGTGACTGTCTCCCAGGTGGAGGAGACAGACTCCACATCCAGAGGGAGTGTAGGTGCTGCCCACCAAAACCTGATGAACACACAGGATATTTGTAGAACTATGAGAAGTTAAAAGTGTAGTTTAATAATCCTCAGTTCAAATTGAGCAAAGTATAATATATAAATTTTCTTTTAGTGACAGCCATGCTAGTTTTCTTCATCTACTATGACATTTTTAGGTCTGTATCTCAGTTTATCTTGTTCCTACAGTTTGTACAGTAATAACCTGCTTTCTGCAGCAGAGCTACATCTTCACTTTCACTGGCATTTTTATAACTCTTCAGGAAATACCCACGGGCCTCCACACTCTGATTCTACATGAAGAGAAGAGAAATGAAACAGTYCTATAAGTGATGGCAGTTAAAAACGATCAAATTAACTGAGTTTGGTACCAAGTTGAAGTTAATGTTTCCCAGATGCAGACAGATTTCTGCCAGTTCCCTCTTCAGTTCACCGCTTCGACAGGTACTGAAGAGTCTCGTCGACGTTTCGCTCGCTGTCAAACACAACAAACATGGATGAACACTCAGATCCTAAAACAAGCATCTGTTGGTTAAACGGAGCCAAATGTCTGAAAATAAAAGCTGAAATGTGTGGACCTCTCTGAGAACTTGACCAGGGCTCTGTAGGACTGTTCCAGTTTTTCTGCATCCTGCACGGAGCTGAAGATCTGGAGGCAAGTGTTGAAAACCTGGGGGAAAAAACAATAAGTTTTGTTTTCCTAAGAATTTTAGACAAAAACGACAAATTAAGAACTTTGTCAAAAGCTTTTCTGAAAACATTGAATAAAAAAATGAAACAAACCAGCGTGTCGCCCTGAACGCTAAAAAATTCTAAGCTCTTGTGTGAACTTTTGAAGTATTTAAATCCTTCAGTTCGGGTCTAAATAAAGTGAAAAAGAATGCTTTGGTCTGAATTCCTCCTTATTACTACTCCACAAGCCCCGCCTCTCTTCTGAGGTGTCACAAACCCCACCCCTTTTTGGAGGCGTGTCTCAGATCAACTCGTTTTTGAGGCTGCCAACTTCTAGACAGGTCCATTCCAGTTTGATAGAGGGGTTTACGACTATTTAGCTGCGCAAAAACTTTATTTATAATTGAGTTAAAAGATGGCAACAAAGGGAGACTTGTCCATCTTTGTGTTTCCTGTGATGAGGAGCGRGAGTCACCTCTCTGGCTGCCTGGTGGTCTCCTGACCTCTGAGAGATCAGCCCGAGCCTGAAGGCCACCTCTCCTTCCAGGGATTTGTCTTTGCCTGAAACAAAAAAAGAAAAAGTGTTGCTGTACATCAGAGGGGTCTGGACTGCTGGTGGGACCACTTCAGGTGTCTCCATGTGTCACATCATGCCACTTCCTGCTTTGTCCTCTATCTCCACTCACACTGTTAGGACAAGCTGCTGCCCTGGTGGAGCAGCGTCGAGGCCTCGGTGTAGTCCTCCTCGGACGTCAGGGCGTCGCTCAGATGTAGACCCTTTCCAGAATCTGGCAGACCCTGATCCTCAGAGGCCGGCTGTTCGACTCCAGCCACCTGCCGCCCTCAGCCTGTTCCAGGAAGTGCTGGGCGTGCTGCCTCGCCTGCTTCAGGTTAACAGGTTCTCACCTTGCTGCAGGTAAACGGGTTCTACACCCACCTTGCTGCAGGTAAACAGGTTCTACAACCACCTTGCTGCAGGTAAACAGGTTCTACACCCACCTTGCTGCAGGTAAACAGGTTCTACACCCACCTTGCTGCAGGTAAACAGGTTCTACACCCAACTTGCTGCAGGTAAACTGGTTCTACACCCACCTTGCTATAGGTAAACTGGTTCTACACCCACCTTGCTGCAGGTAAACTGGTTCTACACCCACCTTGCTACAGGTAAACAGGTTCTACACCCACC